AATTATTATTTGATAACAAATTATATTTGCATATGCCACTAGAGCTCAAATTTAGAATTTTTAATTTCCAATTCAATAAAAATAATTTTCTTTTTTTTCCATAATATTGATGCCAATTGTTATTAGCGTGTGATTACTGTATCTATAAATAACACACATAAATTTGTTTTCCAACTCTGTTGCCAAATTCAAGTGGAGCAAATTCCCGTTATGTATGCGTGTGTGTGAGTGTGTGTGACAGCACTTTGCTCAAAAGTTCATTAACACCATAAAAATTGTGTGCATGGAGCTGTGCCAGAGCACTCATCTCACTCAGTTAGGCCAGCCGGACGGACGACAGCAGACGGCAGACGGCAGACAGTCGACACAGCGCCAAAAGGCGAATGGCAGCAAAAAATCTGGCATACACTTAAAATTCATTATGAAAAGTTTTGCGGGCATGTTGCAACACACACACATGCATATATACATATCTATATAGATACATCTATATAAAATATAAAAAAAAGCTCTAGCAATGTGTGAAAAAATGTAGTCGAGCTATTGCCAAAGTAATTAATTATGAAAAACAAATGATTATGCAGCAAACACTTCAACTCTCACTATGTATGCGTCTGTGTGTGTGTGTGTGTGTAATTAGTAGCTCGAACTGTTTTACTTTTGGCCAGACTCCGGCTGTGGCCCGGGGCCACAAATCAGCGCAGAGAGCTCTGTAATTTATCATTTACCACAGCGCTGACACACATAAATTTAACATAGCATACTTTTCAGCGCTGCACATTTATGCTCTCTCTCCGTGTCCCCTCCTGCTCTTGCCCACTCTCATTCTGTTTCTGTTTCTGTTTCTGCTTTGCAGGCAAGTTCAAGGAGCAGGCGACATCGAACAGCGCCTGGCTGCCCGTGCTGAACTCGAAAGTGCCGGAGCCACGTCCGGGCACATGCCACAACGACACCGCAACATTGCCGGACTCGGTGTTAAATTTCATACGCAAACATCCGCTAATGGACAAGGCGGTCGATCATGAATTTGGCAATCCGGTGTTCTACAAACGAGACGTTATACTCACCCGCCTCGTCGTCGACAAGTAAGTAAAATGTGTAAATGTATTCATTAGCGAGCTGGAGCCGGAGCAGGAGCCGGAGCAGCAGCTACAGTTGTCTCTGGCGGCCTCTTGGCAAGCAGCCACGTATTCGCCTCAGCCTGTTGACATTTGCCAAGTTTATACAGTGCACCACTCGCTGCACTAGCCACAGCCAACAGCCAACAGCCAACAGACAGAGCCGGAGCCGGAGCCAGAGTCAGGACAACAGTCAGGCCAATGCTGACATTTGGGAGCACTCGCTCACTGACAGCATAAAAATCCTGCTCTTTTTTTCCTCTCTTGCTTCTGCTGCTGCTGCTGCGAGTGTTGTTGTGTGGCATAACGACTTGTAAAATAACTTGGCCGGAACTTATGAACATTGCGCCGCAGGATATGCTTTTAGTTAAACGCTTTGTTTTGCTGCTGCACACAGGGAGAAGAAGAAGAAGAAGAAGAAGCTGAAAGCCAGCGAGGAGGAAAAAGTTAGCCAAGTCGCGTGCATTTGAGATTTGTTGCACAAAAACTGTCGGCACTGAGGAGACTGGTGCGATTTATCAACTCAACTCTCTCTTTCTCTCTCTCTCTCTCTCTCGCTCTCTCTCTCTAGAATACGCATTGATAAACTGAACCAAGAGTTTCTGGTCTACTTTGTGGCCACGAGCACCGGACACATCTATAAAATCGTGCAGTTCATGCACTACGGCCAACGCCACTCGAATCTGGTGGACATCTTTGAGGCGTCGCCACGCAACGAGCCCATACGGGAGCTGACGCTCAGCCAGAAGACGGCCTCGCTCTACCTGGCCACCGATCATCAGGTGAAGCAGATCGACTTGGCCATGTGCGCGCGTCGCTACGACAGCTGCTTCCGCTGCGTGGCCGATCCGTACTGCGGCTGGGACAAGGAGGTGAATGCCTGCCGGCCGTATCAGTTGGGCCTGCTGCAGGACGTGGCCAACGAGACGTCCGGCATCTGTGACACGAGCGTGCTGCGCAAGCGCGTCACCTCCTCCTACGGCCAGACGCTGCACCTCTCCTGCTTCGTCAAGATGCCCGATGTGCTGCGCAAGAAGCAGACGCGCTGGTACCACCACTCCACGGAGAAGGGACGGTGAGTAGAGGCAGGGTAATTGAATTTTTGGACAGCCTTTGCCTGCTCTGAGCCGAGCCAATGAGCATTGAAAGCAAATAATGAAATCGGAAGTGCAAACGAAACTTTGCTTGGCTCCCATCCCCAGCCCAGCCCAGCCCCAAAACGGCCCCAACCCCACCCCCCACCCCCTACCCGGAAGCAGCGTCTAAATCCAAACGCTGCCAATGCTGCGGTAAATTGACACTTTAAAATGTTGCTCAAGTCCGTTCGCTGTTTGGCGTTTACGCTTATTTTGGCCGGGCAGCGCAGCGGCACAGGGCGGATCCGTCGCTCTGGCTGCCCGTAATGGAAAAAGTTTCAGCTGGCGCTGCGAAAGTTTCACACACAGTTTATATTGATTTTTATTGTGCGTCGCCAATGAGACACTTTTTCACGCAGCAAACCAAACTGAAAATGGAAAATGGAAAATTCGAATATAGCAAATAGAAAATCTCCTTATCTCTGCAAGACTCACTCACTCACTTAGTCACCCACTCTCCCACTCTCTGTTTCTCGCCCTCCTTGCAGCTACGAGGTGCGCTACACGCCCACGAAATACATCGAGACCAACGAAGGCGGCCTGGTATTGTTGGCTGTAAACGAGGGCGATGGCGGCCGATACGACAGCTATCTGGATGGCACCCTGCTCTGCAGCTACGGCGTCACCGTGGATGCGCACAGGTGAGTCGAGCAACCCCATTTGAATTTACGCGCCTCGGGCGTCAAAATATCCGTGGCGCAATTAGAAAGTGGAAACTTTCGACTTTTCTGGCTATGTTTGTGGTCTGGCTGCAAATGTAATTTCCCGACGATAACTTATTGTGCTTTCCTCTCTCCCACTCTCTCGCTTTAGATGCTCGCCTCCTTCGCAGAAGCAGGACTACCAGAAGATCTACTCGCACTGGTGCAACGAGTTCGAGAAATACAAATCAGCCATGAAGCAGTGGCAGGCCAAGCAGGAGGTAGGCCAAATCCAAAGCAATTAAATATACATTTCACAACTGGCGGCAGCTGTCGTTAATTGTTTTAATTAATTTTGCATGCAAATCGTTGATTCCTGCGCCTAATTTCCATGTTATTCAAGTTAGCAATTCACGAAATTCGAATCTAATTACATTCGTGGCGTTTTTTTATTTTATTTTGTTTGTAGCAATGCGGCCTCAAGGACAAATCAGCAACAAGCAGCAACGGCGSCAGCAGCAGCAGCGGCAGCAGCTCTAGCAGCAGCAGCAGCAGCAATGGCAAACATGTCAACGATGTGTTTAGCAACGACGCCCTGGTCTGACCCAGAAGTGAGTATGCGGCTCGACAGCGACGTCAACTCAGTTTAGTTGTCCAGCTGCCCCCAACCCCCCTCTATACACAAATCCCAACGAAATTAACTCATGGCCTTTGCCCTCTTCTGTGCCTCTTCTGCTCCCTCTCAAACCATGCTGCCCACGCTCAGAGTACTTGTACAGCTCCGAGTTCTTGTCGGCGGGCGCACGCCCCAGTTTTGGCCAGCACTTGTACATTTTCGTGTTTCTGCTAGCCCTGTGCACTAGTTTCTAAAAGTCTCTAGTCGAAGTAAGTTGAAGCTGCAGCTCAGGCTCTGGCTCTGGTTCGAGCCACGTCTAATCCTGGCCAATATACAAATGGATATTAATGTTTGCTTTCCATGTTTGCCATTTCGTTTGCTTACAGCTAGCCAGAGCAACAGCAACAGCAACAACAACAGCAACGAGCAGCAGCAGCAGCGAAAGGATGGAGAGAATCAGCACCCAGAAAGCAGTGACAAGAGCCGAGCAACCAACTACAAAGACTGAAATTTTTAAGCTTTTGAAAGACAATATTTCAATATGTTTTCAATATGTGTTTTTATTTGCTTCATTTACACACACACACACACACATATATATATACAACAATATATATATATTGTTTAGTGCTCTTCGTTTGGCATTCAAATTAACAAACAGCAAAATTCTCACAACACGAACAACCACATTTGATTGATTTCCATATGAAAGTACACCGAAAACATATACATACATACACMCATATATATAGCCAGAATGAAGTGGGGAAGGCGCTAAGCAAGTGTAAAGAGTAAACGCTAAAAAGTTACTAACAAAAGGATCCTGCCATAATGAAAAATGGAAAATACGGTTTTACATGGAACAGAGAGTCGCTCTATCTATCTCTTACACTCACACTCTCTGTCTCTGTCTCTATTTCCAATTCTAATTCTATTTCAATTGCGACTGCGATTGCTTCAAGAAGGAACGAAACGAAAATATGAAAGAAAACAAATAACAAAAAAATGATACTAAATTATGCTAAGATATTTACTCGTAATACAACCACCTACAGGACACTCACACACACTCACTCATATAAGTATATATATATATATACATATATTCAATTTGAGCTCAACATTTTCTTGCCTCAGTTTGTGTATATATTATTTAGATGTTTTGTGCATTGCGAACGGCACAAATCGAATACAAATATGCGAAACAGAAGAAAATGAAAGAAATAAAATAAAAGACAAAAACAACAACAGAGACAACGTCGCTTGGCCATGGGAAGATCTTAAACGAATTTGTATATTAACTAGCAATATTTGTTTAATAATTCTAGTATTAGTTATACGAATAGCTATGTATAAACAGTTCGTAGACAAGAAAACAAAAACAAAAGTTTAAATACTAAACTCGGTATTTTACTGAACCAAAACAAATACTTCTAGAAAGCAGCCCAACTTCAGCTAGGTTAAGGCGAGTTTGTACATAGCGCTGCTTTAGTTGTAATCGCAGAACTCTAACCGTACATTAAGTGTATCGTGTATTTAGATTTATCCTTGATTTGAGTTTGAGAGACGAGTTTTTTAACGGCTAAATGAAAACACGCTAACGGCATTCGGGCCGTTGTTGTACAGATGGCGCGTTAGCCTGATGTTTACTATAAGCAATATATATGCATATACACATAGTTACTGCATTGAGACCAACATGCTCACACACACACACAGAGACACACACACACTCATACACATATATCTATATATATATTAGGGATACTTAACCGTAGCTATAAGTCAGTTGGTGTGGCAAATACATTTTAGTAAATCTCGAAATGGCAGTCAGGCATGTTAAAGTAGAAGAACTTATTAAACGAATATACGAGAGAAATATCAATAGAACTGCCAGCAGCAATAGATTGAAATGCATTTGGAACGCACTCAAATACACATACACACACACACACACACACACACACACACATACATGGAAAACTAAACGCTTCTTTCTGATCGATAAGCCAATGCGACAAGCCTGGTGACATTATCGAAGAAGTGCATATATACAAATAATCCATATGTACTTAATATATATATACATACATACATACATACATATATGTATGCTACGTAAATTAATGAAATATTTTTCTAAAAGTTTTCTCAGCAAAAGCCACAAAACCAAAATTTTAATGTTTCCAACTAGAAATTATCCACACACTCACAAATAGAGAAACCGAAATGCAGAAACGTTTTAGCTTAATCCTCGGATCTAACCATTGTAAATGAACTACAAATAAAAAAAAATATTAAAAATAAAAGTGAAAAACAACAAATATTTCTATGTATTTTTCAGCTAATCATGCTCTGAGCTTCTGACTTGATCCACAAGTTTCTTTTGCTTTTGGTAGACCATTTGATTTCGATTTATTGTAAATAATTCAAAGATTATGTGAAATGTTTTGTATGACAATCACATGATGTTGAGCAAATAAAAATATGATGACCCGTAAATGAAGCAAATTGCAATGTCGGTATTTGAATAAAAAGAAAAATAAACAAATAAAAGCAGCAACAAAAAAAACAAAAACAACTAATATAAAAAGTAAATAATTACATATTTAATATAAACTCAAAATATATATACATATA